CCCCCCCCCCTCTCTCAGCAGCAGCAAGCACCAAGGTCGAGAGCAAGAGAGAGAGAGCGAGAGGGAGAGAAAACTCAAACGTTATCATATCATGTCATGCGTGGAAAAGGGGCCTTCCTGTTGTTGTTGTAGGAGGAGGCGCAGGACCTCTGGTGGTCCAGAGCAGCCCACATGCGCCGCTCCGGGTAGTGATGGTGGTGGCCCCGAGGCGGCGGCGCGTCCCTTCGGTCGGGACACGCCAGGCGCAGCCACACCATCTCCGCTTCGGCCTCCTCGGCGAGCTGCTTCGCGAAGGCCGCAGCAACAGGTGGCGGCGGCGGCGACGACCGGCGCGGCTGCGGCTGCGGGAACTCCGAGCGCGGGATCGCAGCGTGCGGCGGAATAGGTACCGTCTTGAACGGGACCCTCCTTGCCGGGGGCGAGCAGTGCCGCTGGTAGTGTTGGTGGGCACTGGTGGAGTACATGCACAAGAGGAGGAGAATGAATCATCGGGGATTTGTTGGCGTGGCTTAGCTGGAGTACAGAGTAGAAAAAAAAACTAGTGGCTTTGAGGCTTAGATACAGAGGGGTAGTAGATCTGCATATATTGCTTCACCAGTTCGTCTGGTGGATGAATGCATGAGAAGATGCAGTGATGGGGTGGACCCGTGTTCGAACAGGGCCGATTTTTCACGCCAACAATAGCTAGGTTTAATGGATTGTCCGAGTCTTGACGGCATTACACAACAATAATGAAGCCGCTCATACCCTGGACCGCAGCACCGTATCTTGACGGCCAACCCGCCGTCGGCAATGGTTCGACCACTGCCGACTTGGCCGATAAAGTCATCGAAACACAACAAGGGACAAAATCAAACCGGGGGAGGGGGACTGCCGGACTCAGTCGGTAAGGGGAACAGGTTGAGGCATCGCTTTCAGACACACGCACGCGCATTCTTCTCACCAGTCAACGCTGTCGCTGACGGCTCTCGGCGCGACCATCTGGGGGGCAGACTGACGAGCAACGGCCGCCACGATGTTACCATTGGCGTCCACCTGCGTGCTCACTACCGGCCTTCGGTGGGACGGGGACGGTCGCGGCAGCGTCGCCGGGAGCGCCCCAGCCGTAGAAGAAGAAGAAGAAGCGCCGCAGTCGGCGATCGAGGCCGAGCTGCTCCTGCTGAGAGTGGGCCGGCCGCCCGAACGACACGACTTCGGAGGGGAAGAGGGGTAGTCGGCGGGCATCGGAAACGCCGGAGAGCCGGCGCCGCCCGCCGCCGGCGTTGATGCCGGCGAAAATTCTTCCTCGGTAGAGCGCGGACGATACCTGCTGGCCGCCGAACCCGGAGCGTCACCCCTGGAGAACGCGACGAGCTGAGAATCTTCGAACGGAAAACCTGGGTCATTTTATCGCAGCAAAAACAAAAAAAAAACACGGGACGCGTAAGCACTTGGGGGTCCATGACAACGACGGCGACGGAGGGGCAGGCGGCCGCAGGTGTCTGTGTACCTAGGGCCCCTCTCTGTCTGCTGGCCTTTACCTGCAACTTCCGCGTCCGGGGATGTCGGCGTGGCGGGACCCATCGGCACACCGCGGCTAAGATCGACGAAAGACGCGAGGCGGGGGCAGCCTCCGCACGCGATGCGTCGCTCCGCCACCTGGTGGTGGTCCATGGCAGCCTTTTCGCCGCCGCCGCCGCCGGTAGCAGCCACTGTGCGATTGGCTCTGAACCCGCCGGCCGCAAAAGAGCTGCCGCCCCCGCCGCCGTTGGTGGGACTGGTGGAGTAGTCGGAGCCGAAGCTGCTGCTGCGGTCGGAGAGGGCTAGGGTGGATTCGCTCGAGGAGGGGGAAGGGGCGGGGAAGACGTCGGCGGCGCCAGGCTTGGCGGAGGAGCCGCTGGGAGGAGCCTTGTCCGTTTCGATGTCGGTTAGCACCGAGACGAAAGAGTACCACATGTTGTACACGGCCCTGTGTGTGTGTGCGTGTAACGGGCAGGAGAAGAAAGAAGAAAAGAGCGTGGGGAAGAGAGGGCGACGGGTGAGTGCTTGATTTGACCGTTCGGGGCCGTCTTGCACTCCCTCGACACAGTTTTACCAACAGCGGTTTGCAAATCAGTCCTTGGCACAACAATCTCTCGGCTTCCCGACCGAAACCTCCCCCCCCCCGGCCACGCACTCCACCACCTCGGTGGCCGTGTCTTCCAACCTAAGAATCATCCACCCGTCCATGACAACTCCTGAAACTAGAACCAGTCACGACCTGACCTTGCAGAGAGGAGAGTTGCGCCGTGTTTCATTGGGCTGGCTTATTCACGTCGTACTGGTGCCCACAACCATCCCGCACACAACAACACAAACAGGTGTCCTACCCGGGGCAAACAGAAAAAGCCGGCCTCCAACAGACAGCCCCCTCACCTGTCCGCACGGTCTTTGGCCGCGCACATGGCGGGGTCGAGGTCGTACAACGAAGAGTCTCTCGGAAGCTGACGAGGGATCATCGACCGTGGCGGCACACGGAAAAAAAATAGAGAGATTAAAAAACGGGCGAGATCTCCTGGCCCGCTCGATGCGTGCTACTACAAGTATGCTGTACGGAAAAAAACGCGAGTGTCGGAGCCTCTAGCTATGAATGCTGCCGTGTGAAATGGCCCCTATCATCACGGGTAGGGTCGGGCAATGAACCCCCGCAAGGTCTGAAGAACGGAAGAAGCTTTTGCCTGCTAGGTCTACAACGCCTGCCACACACAGACACACAGTGCACTTGCATGCCGGGATCCGTCACCAAAACGACCTTTTCCTCCACTACCGTCCCCTCCCCTTCCTCACCAGGCTGTCGGGATCTCTTGGTAGATCCGGGAAGAAGAAGGCCGAGTCGCTCGAGTGGTACGCGGAGGACATGTGAGAGCCGGCGTACAGCCACGCCTCCTGCCGCCCTTGGACGCGCGGGTCGTGGATGAACACGCAACTGCGGGGGGGGGACGGGGGTGGCGAAACACACGCGGGCGCCAAGCAACCAACGGGACAAGGAAAAGAAAAGCTTGTCAGTCATCATGCGGTTTTGAGAATACCGCGTGTACGAACAGATGGTGGAATGAGCAAAAAGGCACTTGAGTACACACGTCAAACAGTGAACCTATTTGGAGGAAAGGCAACAAGAGCTACATGCGTACGCAGCTGCAAAAAACGCTTCGTACGGCCGTAGTGCGGTGCGCATGGATGTGTGTGGATTCTGTCGACATGCACGCGCGCCCTTCTTTTTCTGTATTTCCTTCTGGGAATGATAAGCCGAAATACCGTCAAGCGTCCCTCCACACCCCCACCGACCTCATGTAGGAACAACCAACGAGTCGTGTATGTGCATGTGCATGTGCTCTTCCTCGGTGTCCTGTTTTCCTTCTAGGGGAATGACAAGCTGTACAGCCTCCAAAAGCGGCCATTACAATCTCCGAGGAACTGGCGACGGCCAACCAACCCTTACCGTGAAGAGTACGGGCAGCTCCCCGTAGCGACCCAGGTCATGCACGGGATGCAGCGGTACTTGACTGCGTCGGGAATGCGCCCAGCGTTCTGCCTGGAAACGTGTGCATGTCCCCACAACAAAATGCAACGACGAGGGTTGGCGTATCGTGGAAGAACAAAGCGGGGCCTTGTGAAACACACAAGAAGGGGCGGTGTGCCGATGGCTGCATGGCACGGGTCGTCGGGAACAGGAGTGCCGATGAAACAGGTTGAGACAGAAACTCCGAGAAACTCGCAAAGAGCCAACATTCCGCAAACATTTAAACAAACGGCAGTCCGGTGTGTGGGCGCCCGCTCGCGCAGGGCGAACGAGCAACCGCTTGCGTAAAAATTCATATGCCAATATCGCGATATAGGTGAACAAGTTGTCGACCGGGAGGGGAGGGGGGGGGGGGGGAGGCGACGCCTTCATTCGGGTCGCGTTGTTGTTCAAAGTTCAAACGGCATCGACTCGTGAAAACGCGTCGGGTCCCATCAACGTATTCATTGCACTCATCGAACCATACACTTCGAAATTGCTTGCTGCCTTCGTGCGGTCATTTTAGGCGAGTTGTTGAACAAGCAACCTACATCAACAAGAGGTTCTTGTCCGCGCATGTATGCTCCGCGACTTGACATAGTGCCCCGACCCAACCATCATCGTCGCCGCAACAAGCTTAGCAAAGAGCGGGACGGGATCAAAGCGCGAAGCAACAATGATAGCGAAGTCACTATTGCGCCAAGCACATCAAGGGTCAATTCACCAAAACGCGGCGATTTTGTTGTCATGAACCAACGTCAAGCTAGAAGGTGCAAGTTCAATTCACCTATAAGTACTGCTACACGTCTAGACTGCAGTGAGACTTACATTTCCCTGAGAGTGCGGTACTTGAGCTCTTCCCTGCCGTGGGCGAAAGCACACCTATCTGTTCCGATGCCCCGCCCACAACCAAAGATGATGCGACACGCATGAGTTGCAGCGAGAAGGAGGGGGGGGGGAACGCGAGAATGGCGGATGATGTTGAGCAAGCTTCGCACCACGTAACACGTTGTACGACCCAAAAGTGTCAAGGCATGCAAGCATGTCGTCCGACTCGTGGGTTACCCTCTGGTGGTCCGTTTCACCCCTTTCACTTGTGGTGGTGGCCTCAAGAGTGTTGCCTTACGACCTTACGTACGGCTTCAGGCAGCACTCTGTTGGATGTGGGGGCAACGAGCACCACCGTCCGTCCGTAGTAAGGCGGAAGCGAGTCCGGCACACGTCGGAGAATAAAACAAAAATTTCGCACATGCGACACAGCAGTATAACGCTCGCCCCCTGCTGCGAGCGTTCAGGCCGGAAGCGGTTTCGTCCGCAGACCGAAAGCGTTGCACAGATGTCACCCGACAAAATAATGACGGAAGAAGAGGATTCTGGCGGGAGGGCAATCACTGCCTGCTGAGACGACCTAAGAGGCAGAGTCGTCCCAGCCGGCGGCACTAGCGATAGGTTCAGCAGGCATTCTTCGCCAGTCACGGCGGAGACTTCAGACACATGTACATTCCACCGACCGATGCTGCTGCATTGTCATTATCTCGAACGGGAAGTCTTTCGGTGATTGTTGCACACGATGTGTTTTTTCTGAAAAGCATGGAATATCCGACGTGCTCAGGACATTCCGCTCCATACTTCACGGGACTGGCCACCGCCACGGCAGTTGATTGAACAGACACGCCTCCGACCACGGGCCAGGGTTGATTGAGCGGGAGCCTCTCATGCACCTATGTCACGCCCCTGGGGCGATCGATTCTTGGCGCGAAAACGACAAAGTAAAGAGTAAAATGCGCACCGCCTCTCTCCAAACAAGACGGAAAAAAAAAGCAACAAACGAAATGTGTCTCGTGTGCGTGGTGGGGTGAAGAAAGCAGCAAGCCGCGTACGTGCCAGCCTGCTCTGTTGCAAGAAGTCGCACGGTAATGAATTCTGGCGTGAAATGTCAACACAAAGAGGGCAGCGGGCGCGGCTCGCGTACTCCATGGGTCTACGTGCGGACACTTTGTCAAGTCCTACTCTCTCTCCGGGGCACGCGGGGGAACCAACATGCAATGGTATCGACACGCGATGCGTGTTTAGGAACACGGGGCGGGCGTGTTGGAGTTGTGTGCCACGTCGGGTTGTTGTTGTTACTGTTCTGGGTGGAAGAAAATATTGGAGACGAAGGTATTGGTATTAGTTGTCGTGATGGCGGGGGCCGTTGGGTTGGCGCTTGCTTGCTTGACAGAGGGGCTCTCGCCCTCCAGCTGTTGTTTGATCACATAATTGTTTGATCGTCAACCACATGTAGGCGAGGTCGTAATCAAGGGTATCACCGGATGGCAGAAAAGGAAATTATTCCCACAGATGGTCAGACGAAAAGCACGCGCGTCCCTTTTTGCGCAATTCTACACGCGAAACGGAGCGGTAGTTTGGAAGCTTCGGCCTCGTTTATTTTCCGGCGGTTCGCGCCCAATTGGTGAACATTACCGCCCCACCCAAGAAGGGCTCGTGGACTTGGTGTGTCTGCCCAAAGGTCGCTAGTGGAGAAACGCCACCAAAATCAACCCAAATCAACCCTGGATGTTTTGCTCTGGCATCTATTATGCAATATGCATACCTCTGTTCTTGAAAGGTTGAAAGTATGGGTCCATGACGACGGAGAAATGACGAGTGAAAAAAAAAAACGACGAGATTGCTATTATTGCGCTATTTACAGTATATTAGTAACTTAGAGCAGTTCACATTATGTTGTTGATTCACGGATCGTCCGTAATTGATTCGGCCCAACCCCGGTGTTGTTGTTGGCTTGTGCCGTACGGTTTCTCCCCAACCGCGCTAACAAACACTCGGCTCGTTTAGAGAAGGCATTGTGGTCAGAGCAGCCCACAGACAGGCGTGCGTGATGGTGGGTGGAGATGCCCTGAAAAGGCTTCGGTCTCAAAAAATTCGGGGGACCCCAGATGACCCGCAATTCGGCAGTTCCAAGGAAGGAAAGCCAGACCATGATGTGCGGGCGTGTGTGTATGTGTGCACGAGAAATGCCACACGAAATTACACGCCACTTGCGGTCAACAGTAGGATTTAAGAGCGGCGCGTGTGTGTTTGAAGGCCAGCAGGTAAAAAAGACGACATGACACACACACGTGCCCCCAACCACCCACACAGGGAGGAGGGAGCATGGAGGGAGGAGCTGTATGTTGTTCAACATTGTATGAACTTTCGCAACAACAATTCAAGGACTGACTTGAAGCAAGCACAGTTCTCCGACGCCGGCCTGACTAGCAACACCCTGATTGCAAGACGATGATGACAGTGATGATGATGTTAAGCTCGCAGCAGAAAAGAATGTCGACCTCATTCATGCAGAGACCGAACGTATGTATTTGACGTTGTTATTTTTCAGGTACACTCCAAGACGAAGGGAGTCCCTCCCACGTGTGTGTGTGGAGTAAAACATTTTGGCCTTTGCATACAAGCTCATCATTATATGTCAATATTATGGCTATTTTGTCCGCGGACGATTGCATGGATTGGGATAGACAGAGCAAGGAAGATCTGTATTGTCGTGTATTAAGGTACAGCACATACTGCAGTGAATCTCGTATATTGGTGAGTATGAATGTATTATGCGAATATAGCGTGCGCGCGCACGCCAGCCGGACAAAAAAAACATTAATGCTTACGTAGACGACATCGTTTCACGCCACTCTAACACAAATGCCGAGAGGCTGTTGAACCCACGCATAAGTGTCGCACAAGACAAAGCGCCAGCTCGTTGTAGTCTAGATGCTGGGCACCAAGGGGAGCACATACACTGTTTACGGCGCAGAGAGAACCGAGTCGCGTTGCAGCACAGCGAGCGGGAGAAAGAAAAAAAAAAGGAAACAAAAAGGGCGATATACCCCCCGAGCTCGACCAGCACCTACACACGAACGGTTGCCCCTGTTTCTTTCTCTTAATCTCTCTCTCCGTCTATCTCTCTCCGCCATCTCGGCTCTGTCTGTGAGCGCTCACGATGAAATAATGACGAAAAAGAGCCGGAAATCACCGAAGGCACGGGGCCCACTACTACTACTACTACTGATGTCCGTCGCATCATCATACGCGGGGACATGGTGGTCGGTGTCGATGCCGCTGATAGCGTGGGGTGCTTAGAGTGTCTGGATTCATACATTATAAAAACAGCAGGAAAATAATGTGTGTGTGTGTGTGTTTCCACCTACCCCCGTAAGTGCAGAATCCTTTGGTGTGGTTCCGGCATAGCTCCGTCTGTCCCCCAATGAACCGCCACAGCAGCAGCAGGGGTTATGTAGGAGCAGCAGCGAGTAGTAGAAGTAGAAGTAGTAGTAGTAGCAGAGGGCGGTTGCAGTGGCCCAAGTTGCGGAGCAGCAGAGGCAGCAGGAGAGGTACAGTAGTACGGGCGTCAAAAGAGAGCAGTCGTGGGCGGGGATTTTCGTGCACAGACAGAGTCAGCACTTCAGCGGCAGCAGCAGCAGGAGCAATTTCATCTCCACAGATGCAGGAGGAAATGGCCTCTTTTTCCCAAGACATCGCGCACCCCGCCACAGCACCTACCTTCAGGTTGGTGTTTATGATCGCCTGTGACCGTCTCCCCTGCTGGTGCCCATGCTGCTGCCTATTTACCCATCCGTCTGCTCTGCCAGGTACCAACATATCCGCCTGTCGTTCGGTGCTTGGTAGACTACTGAATCGTTGTTTGTGAGACAGGTGCGTGGCGTGCGAGAAGCAACAGGTGCGATCGACAACATACGCAAGCAGCAACAGGTGCGATGTCATGGTGGTCCGCGATCTTCCTCTATTTAACATCTTCTTCTTCTATCTAATTTTTCTTTTACTATTTGAAACTTCGCTAGAGTAAATAAAAAGACAAGTGAAGGGAACAGGTGTGAGGTGTGAGGGCAAGAGCGGAACAAAGAAGCGGCTTCTTTCATCTCTCCCTCCCGCTCGCTCACCAACAGACAGACCACGATCGCCTTCATATCCA